CTTTGTTGGGTTTCAGCCTCCTTTAGCTTTATAGTGCTGGTTCGACCTCGTTTTCGCAACCTGGCTAGAGTGTTAGGGAGACCTTATAGAATTTGCCTAGTCCTGCGCCCTCTGCTATAATATTCGTGATTTACAGCATCGGACCTTTGACTTTGTACATTCTTAAAAGATTAGCCAGCATTGTCAGTTAGGTGGCATCGTCTACAACTTATCACTTGTCACTGATAATGTGTAACTGTGCTGACGATGGCACATCTCACCAATATATTTGGTTTAACCTTATTTTCTGAACTTGGTCGGAGCTTCAGAAAGCCCTTGTGGAACGTACCTAGTCATGCGTCCTCTGTCAGAGCATACGTCATTTTCAGTATTGGACCTTTGACTTGATACATTCACAACGTTTCGCCGGCATCGTCAGTGAGAGTAGCCATCGCTAACATAGAAATACAATTTATGAAAGGGACGAGTGAAGACAACCGATTTTATGCTCAATCGTCATCACTCCTCTCAATCCAATTTCGTATGGCCTAATGACCTATTCACACAATTCTATGCTCTCGTTTTCTTAATGTCACCTTAGAACGTGTCGCTACTACTGAATTTAGTGAGTCATAATTATCCTCACCACCGGCTCCAGATGCTGGCTGCCTGTGACCTTTCAATTCCTTTCCCAGTTTACATATTCTTCGATTTAGGGCCAGTGGTGCCCTTGTCTAGGCATCTTTCTCTCATTCAGTTTTATACACCTCAACTAGTTATCCTTTTTCTCATCCCCACCCACATTGTATCCTATTACTTAGGGCTCTATTAAAAACGCTGGTGTGAAAATTTACACTTTCCTCTTCCCACTCTTGAATCGCCTAAAGCATACTCCCGTTAGAGCGTATGGATGAAAACCAAGCCGGTGTGGCCTTCTGTTTGGTCGCAGTCTCCTTACTTGTATGTCTCTTGGAAACGGATATCCAGAATAGGTAATACAGACGAAAACCAAGCTGGTGTCGCCTTCTGTTTGGTCGCAGTCTCTTTACTTATATGTCTCTTGGAAACGGATATAAAGAATAGGTAATACTAGACGAAAGGAAAGCAAAAGGAGCAGAGGAAAAACGATGGATATGTCTTCTTTCCTGCGATTTGGTTTGGAAGCTACGACCAATATTAGGGAAATGGAAAATTCGTACAACCCTGAATGAAAGAGCAACCCTCTCGAAAGCTTGCCCACACAACATGGAGAAGGTAACAAAATGAAGTGCTCCGGAGTCTACAGCATAAACTGCAAGGACTGTGAACAAAAATACATAGGAGAAGCGGCAAGGAGAATCAGCACAAGGATCAAAGAACACTAGCTACTATAAGTGGATAGGCTATATGAAGTAGAGTTGATGGAAAGGGATGCGGCACTAGAGTATAGAGCAAAAATTAGGTGCGAAAACTGATGTCACAATGGTTGAACAGAAAATTGGTCAAGGGGATTGCCTTCAATCGTCACTTTGGTAAGTTGTAACTATGTTCTAATGATGGCGCTTCATTGATTATGCCGGTGAAATGTTAGGTATGTACCAAGGCATTGGTCCGATGCTGGAAATCCCGAATACTTTGACGAAGGACGCATGACTATGTACGTTCCACAAGGCCATGCCATCTTGGTCTTCTTATCATCGATCTTAATTAATAGTAATCGACTTCCATCACCCAAGTTTCTCTTCTCCATTACATAAAACGTTAGGACTATAATCTCGCCTTCTCTACTATTTTCACTAATCTTATTGCCCTCATTAAAATTGTTCTTAAGCCTTTGTCTTTTTAGTTTTATATTTTTGCATGATAACTTTCGACTACTTTTTGTTTAACGTATAGAAACAAATTTAGAAAAAAATATTTATGGTACACTTTGGAACTGCGAATTTCTGTTAATTGCACCGCAATTTAACTTGTTGACTTTAATTTCATTTTAAAGTACATGGTGTAGAGATTCGTAGGTCAATCTCACCAGAAGACGACGATTGGTTCAGCTATCCTACAGTCGTTTGATTTTACTGTGACGTTAAAATTAGCCTAGTATACGAGACTAATATATCGGTTTGAATGAATTAGGGTTGAGCTTTCGTTCGTCGTATCACAGGAATCATCACATCTGGAACTCATTCTTGCAATGACCTCAAGTTAACAATAAAGTAAGGAGACATATTTCATGTTGTTTTGACGTAATGTATTTAGCGCAAACTTTAGATCGTGTATTCCAGTAGTTAATTTAATCAATTTGTTAGTTCTTCATTTTAGCCTTTTTATATTTATATTTGACTTATTCAATCACATATTCTTTTTACCTTTGCTGTTTTGCGTTGTTTTTATTATTCTAAGCGAAGATCTTTACGAACCACTTAATCCTACCCAATATCACGATTGATTGCTTTTTTATCAGGCAAACGATCTATAATCTGATTGGGGCCACTTTAGTTTGGGTTTCCCTTATTCATATTTTGAAAATAATTATTTTGAACATGTGCGAATCCGCCCCAAATCGTCCGAGAATCGCCGACAGATATATGATTCAGATTTAGGGCCGGAATTGACGAATAATTTTTTGAGGTGTAAATTCAAAGCAATGAATTAACCTGCAAAATGCATCCTACCTCATGATAAACTTGCTTTGACCATATGCATGCATCGCTAAGCTTCACTTAAAGTTTATTGAACTTATTCTTTTAAGGATGGCAGCATTAAGTTGTGGAGCCTGGACAGCGAGGAACCACTGGCTGACATGGAGGGCCACACGCCATATCGCGTTTCTCGGCTAGCCTTTCATCCATCTGGTCGATTCCTGGCCACCGCCTGCTTTGACCATTCATGGCGCCTTTGGGATTTAGAGGCTTGTGAAGAGATTTTGCATCAGGAAGGTCATTCAAAGCCCGTCTTCGATGTTGCATTCCATCCAGATGGTTCTTTGGCAATAACTGCCGGTCTGGATGGGTTTGCCCGCGTCTGGGATCTGCGGACTGGTCGGTGTATCATGTTCCTTGAAGGTCATCTAGAAGCAGTGCTGGGAGTTGATGTGGCTGATAATGGTTACCATTTGGCCAGCTGCAGTACAGACAACACGGCCCGCATCTGGGACCTCAGGCAGCAACAGGCCATCTATGTTATTCCGGCTCATACAAAGGTGGTCAATAGTATCCGATTTCAACGTGAGTTTTCCGATTTATTTAGTTGAATCGTCACTTTCTAGCATTTACATGCGTTAACCGGTTACTCTTGTTTTTGCCTTTTAAATTTGCATTGTCCCTATTTCATGGTTATTCCCTTGATGTCTACCATTACAAGTCAATGCACATAAAACCGACTCAGATTTTTATATCCTTGATCCCCTACCTCTTATGTCGCCTAGATGGCATTCAAACCACACACATTTAATCACACTTCCACTTACAATCGCACGGATAATTCACATCCTTAAACTTAAAGTAAAGTGCAATTTATTTGTCACCGATTAACTTTTCTTATCTTGTCTCAGTCTGGCTAACTCCAGCTATCTACCCATGCTATAACTGATATACTTATGTGTCCTTATTTACTTAAATCTGCATGCGTACTTATCGCGCACCCCCAGCTGGCCATCAGTTATCAGTACTACAAGCGGAAAAGCTTATATGCAGGCATTTTTGTCTCGATGCCATCGATTCACTCGTCGTGACTATGCCTTTCTCTGATTTCCTAAGTTAACTAACCTTTTTATTGTCACGTTATAATAGTCCTACTTAGGAACAGTGGGCATCCATGTAGGCAGTGTAGGCTGCAAAATTTAATGTCCCGGTGTTAGCCAGTCAGTTTTATGCATCGGTTCTCCAAAAGATGAATGTCTTTATAAAGGTGGGTTTTGGCTAGGAATTGATATTACTGTAAAAATCGTATTCGGTTTTGTATAAAGGTGCCTGTAAATGTACTTTTGTAAAGAATAACCATTGATTAGAGCGCTTAGGTCTGTTTAAATATTTTAGAGAAATGGTCTTCACAAGATTGAATGGTCAGTATTTTACATGAATACTGATAAATCAGTATTTTTGGATACCTCACAATTTATGTTTGAGAGTTCAAAGATTCAGACATCTACCTCATTACTATCATTTATATCTTGCTTTTCTACCAAGGCATTAGACGATGCTTTTCTATTTTTGTTTACCTGATACTATTTTTCTCTTCCTTTGGTTTTTGTTTGTGCCAATGTTGACAGCTAGACATTATCAATACCTCATTACATCCTCTTTCGACCGGACTGCAAAAATCTGGGGTCATCCTGTGTGGACGCCGCTAGCAACTTTGGAAGGACACAGCAGCAAGGTTGTTTTCGCCGATATTTCGCCCGATAATTCCTATATCGCTACTTGCTCACACGACCTTACCTTCAAACTCTGGGAATATGAAAAACCGCATCGAGCATCTGCAGTAACTAGGACCATGCCGACATCTCAGATGAAGCAGGAGGCTGAGATAAGTGAAGTTGAGCAGCATATAAAGAAAGAAAATGATCACGATTAATTTTTCTCCTAAGAACTCACTCCTGTATTTTCTTTATTCAATTTCTACAGGCCATAGATATAACTTTGTAAAAAATACGTATCCGCACGCCCAGTTACAACCTATCCTCATGACTGGTGTTATTCGGTCAGTTTTATGCATCGGTTCCCCAAAAGATGAATTTCTTTATAAAGGTGGGTTTTGGTTAGGTCGCCTAGCTTCACAATTAATTATTTGAATTCACATAGCTACTTTGTGAGGCTCTTGCACATTCCGATCCTTAATTCTAAGTTTTCTGAGAATTTGTATTAACTTATAATATAAAGTTCATAAGCCCTCTATCATCTGATAATGAATATCTATCCGAAATTATGCCTTTCGTTGGCGTTTCGAATAGTTTTTTATTGGCCCTGTTAGTCCTATTTGTTGGTACTAATTTCGACAATTAATGCAAGATTGCGACTATTATGCATAATAATGACTGTAAGCACAATAAACTATTTACTTTCGCCATTTTCATTGGTAGATGCATCATTTAGGGGATTTTTATCATTCCTCCAATCATAGATTACGTAGAATTTTTATAAATCAACTTTTAAGGTGCGATTTATGTAAATTAAAACGGAGATATGAAGACCAAGATAGTTGGCCTTCTGTTTATCCCAGTCTCTTTTAGCTTTATAGTGTTGCAACTTGGTCGGAGCGTCAGGGAGGCCTTGTGGAACGTACCTAGTACCGTGTCCTCTGCAATAGTATTAGTTATTACCATCAATGGACCATTGACTTGGTGCATTCCCAGTCGTTTCGCCGACATTGCCAATGAGAGGTGTCATCGTTAGCATAGAGTTATAACTTATCAAAGTGACAAGTATAGGCAATCACCTTAACCAATCTCCTTTCCTCCACGATCGTACGAATATTCCATTTTCATAGTAGCGGTCGCATCTTCCAAGCCAATTAGCAGGAAGGTAGACATATCCATTGTTTTTCCTCTGTTCCTCTTGGTTTTCTTTCTTACTCTCCGTCCTTCCCTCTTTTCATCGATATGTCGCGTTGTATTGCTTCTCCTGAATATCCGTTTTCAAGTACCATCTGAGTTACTTTTCCAGAACCCAGAATCAGTAAGTCATTGTCTTCTTTTGACTATAGTTCAGAGTATTCCAATCTTCATTCCATAAGTAGGATAAGACTGGAAATTAAGAGTTATTCCAACATGCTATTTCCTTCTGAAAAGTAGTTTCTTGAGAGTTTCCCCTGAGTGAATGACCTCCACATCCAAGAAAGGTAAATGTTCGTCCTCTCCCACATCCATAATAAAATTTTCGTTTGCATTAGTCGTTTAAGAAGATCAGGAAATCAACTAGTTTTTATCTCCCATGCGACAAGTTCGAATTAGTCATCCAAATTTCGTATTTTGGTTGTTGATTCTTGTGGGGTAATTTTGAAATTATTCTCCAACTTGTCTCTTTAGGCATAAGTCAATAAATTTTCATGGTGGGTTCGTAGGCAGACCAAATATTTGCCTATATATCCGGCAGTTGTTTTTGAATTAGCTAATTCTTATTGTTAGGTTGATTAATCGGGTTAGAGACTTTACGGATTCGCTCCGTCTCCAAGATGTGTTATTTTTCCAACATCTCCAGTTGAGCCTTAAGTGCTTTTTCTCCTTGCTGTTAGTTTACATTGACTGTATATCAAGGCTGACCAAAAGTTCTTCCAAACTTGTGCCATTGATTTTTTGGCAAAATTAGCATGAATTATTCACTTTATCCGATAATTAATCATTCAATTTCTTTAATTGGAGGTATATATTTTTTCTCAGTTTATGTGTTGGTCCGTGTTTGTTGTTGAGCTTCTGTTAATAATTCTCTCTGTATCTTCCGTAAACTGTATGCTACTGGGCTCTTGCATCCATTCGTATGAGAGAATTCATTTTTCATTTTTCGATTTTTCCTTTCATATTTCTTTTAGCATTTTTTGGGCAACGAATCTTTGATTTTAATTGTTGGGCCTCTTGCTAGCAGTCAATACGTTGTATTGTCTCTGGGAATATTTACATTTTCTTTGTATATTCCTTCCTATATATCACCACTATAGCACCTTTGTAGGCTCGTAGGACTATTTGATAGTTTATACCCAATTATCCATAGATCTTGATTATATTATTTCTATCAATGGGTTCTTGTTGGCCTAAGATTGTTGGATTGACTTCCATTTCCAGCTCTCTTTTGATTACCCTGGTAGCTTCTCAGATGTACTTTCACTAAAATGTCAGATTTTCTACCTGTATTAAGAAGTGCAAATATTAGTTCCTTGAGGATCTGTGGTTTGCAGGTCAAGAGGGACAAAAGACAGATTCACTACTTTATCTTCGTCTCATTTTTGGACTGTGAGATCTGTCACTATGGATAGCTTTGTTTGTGTCGATTAAATTTATCTTGGGCTGTCTATAGACCCCATATTTATTCAACTTCTTCGTTGTATAGATGTTGATTGAACTTGTTTTGCAAAGTAGTCATATGGATAGTAAGATTTAGATGAGCGCACATAGTCTGAAGACAGTTAAATGTATAAAAATTTACAGAATCGAACCGTGGACGTGGTACATTCTCGGACTATTAGCCATCATTGTCAGTGAACATTGCCATTTTAGTACCACACTGCAACTCGTCAAAGAGACAAGTGAAGCCGATCATTTGAACAATTGTCTGCTAAACAATCGTCGTAACTGTCTCGCCCTGGGA